TAACGGCATCGTAAAAATCGTTAAAATGATCACGAACTTTACTAATTTTTAGAGACAATGCCATTCTTTTCAAAAATTTCGCTTTGGCGGCAGGCCCTTTCGATTAATACATAGATTTCAATCGCATCCAAATTTCTCTCCCACTTTCATATTCTACAATCGAACTCAGTTCGGAGGGACTCATTGCCAACGTCTGTATACCCCTGCTTTTGGTCTTGTTTTACTAGCTGCTGCTTCGATTCCTTCCCCGGGGCTTTCGTCATTTCCGTCTACACAACTCCACAAACCATCTTTTACCAAAATAGCATGCATTCGCAGCTTCCATGTGTCGTAATTCTCCGCGTTCAGCGGTTCAATACGCACAACATCAGACATTTTTCAATTGAACAACACAATTTCTTCGTTTTTGTTCAAAATTTTAAACTTTTTGTCTCAGAAATTTATTGCCTTAATTGATTTCCACTAAATGTGGCGGAGATATTTTTATGCTTTTTGTGACCTTTCGTACCTAATATTATAATTGAGTATATGTTATAACCTTTATAAAATCGATTGTATGTATCGGATCATTCTTATACATCGGAGCTAAACAGAATAAATTTGGCACAGTTGAAAATATATGTGTAGGTTATATCTAAATCTGAAAACAAAAATTATAATCTGACAACATCTCATGACATTATGCCGAGTTGTCAAAGATGCCATCTATTCCTTTCGCCATTTCCTGACATTTAAATTTAATCAAACCTCATATTATTATTGACACCAGACCAAAACTGGTTGCATCTTATTAACAGAAAACAAGTAAAAAAGTTTTAAGTTCGGTCGAGACGAACTTTGAATACCCTCCACCATTTGGTACAAATTTGGCAATTTTCAAAAACATAAAATTCATTAAACTTCTGTTAAAATCTTAAAAATACAGAATGTATCCGTATATTAGGGTCTATACGACAACGTGGACCTGAATACGCAACTTTTGTCATAAGCCTACACAGACAATTTTCTGCATAGGATGTAGTAGCCATTTCGAACTTCAAATATAAAATGTAAAATAGCTCCGGTAAATAATGCCGCTAAAATCATCAACATACCGAAAATCAGGGGGTACCGTAATATGGGGGCTATACGAAGACGTGGACCTGCACAGACAATTTTCTCTCATTGGCTGAAGTATTCATTACGAACTTCAAATACCAAATTTGAAACAATTCCGGTAAATAATGTCGCTTAAATCATCAAAATACCGAATATCGGGAGGTACCGTTATGGGGGTTGTAGCTATAAAGAAATTGGTTTGGTCCGAATATGGCACACTTTAATATTGACGTTAATAACCTACTTAAACATTTACAAAAAATTTGAGGGGAATATATATTGAAGCTGTATGTAAATAAACCGATTTCGACCAAATTTGTCAGAAGTATTTCTAAGCTTTATCTGACACCTCGTGCCGAATGTCATTGTTATGGGGTTCACATTACGACTCTGAAAGGCCCAAAATCTGAAATCAAATGAATGTTATTAGTGAGAGCTATATCTATATTCTTGCTGATGTTAATATCGTCATAACTAGCACCAAAAATTAACTTTGAAAGGTCTACCTCGTTCCTGTGATTTTTTTGCCTCAAAGACGTGCCATTGGCCCCATTGTTAAGTGTAGGGTGTCGACGATGACAGCGAACCATGTTATGTTAGGTTAGGTGACATTTATGTGAATGTGTGCCTAAATTGTGTGTGTGTCACTACGACGGTTAGGTAGATTATGTTGTGTGCTGCACTTGCGAAGCAACAAATAAAAAATCATGTAGTAATTTATATTTTTGTAATATCCGGTAATATATATTTCTTTTAAAATTTTAGTAAGAAATTGTTAGCAGAGATTTGGCACTCACTTAATAACAAAATTTGAATAAACAATTGAAAGTGGAGAAATGTTTAAATTTTTAATTACGAATATATTTTTGAAGTTCTAGTTTATTGGTGTCTTTATAAATATCTGGCCTAAAAATAGTAGGCTTCTATAAAATTTAAAATAATAAATCGAAATATGAAATTTAGATTTTGTAAATTACAAGTTTTTTTCATTGCTATTATATTTTACTAAAATAGTGGTGGCTTGTTTGTTCGGCATACCATGGTATTTTGTTGTTGCAAAATGGTCAGGCTTAATCCCTTTATTGTAGTTTTTATAAAAACAACGTTTGCCTATTAGTGGAGAACGATGGTTTTGTTTACCAGGGGGTAAGGGCAGGGAATACCTAGGTTTCGGAAAGAGCCACCAATCCTCATCAGTTTCCTTGTTTTTTTTCTGGGATATTCTCCCCAGAAGTTATTTTAAAAATAACTTCTATGGCAAAAACATTTTTTTTACCCAAGTGACGACATCGCAAGCTCAATAGAAGAGGAACCAAAGAATTAAATAAAACTAAAATTCTTTTGGAAAATCTTCTAAATCTTACAACCGCACTTATAAACATTTACATCTTTCTGCACTTGTTATGCTTTCGTTCTAACTGAACGAAGTAGCATAACCAAGTAAGTTGGTTTTGTCTGTTACAACAAAAACCATTTCGTCGACCGTGCCTTGGCTATTAATACAACCTTTTAATTTAATTAATGTTATACGCGAATTAAAGTAAACACATTTTCTTTATACCTCTCTATGTAAGAAAATGTAAGACATTCTTTCAATAAAGATTGGTTTTGAAAACTAGGCATTGTACCCACCATACCACGCTAAGATTGAGTAAACAACTAAGGAAGAGGTTCGCATTAGAAGAAAATGTTTTGAAAAACATTACTCTCTGCAAAATAGCGTAATATGACGTTTAGCCAGTGCGGGGAATACTCCAAAGGTAAGCACTAACCTGGATAGCTCCCCTCAATTTGAATTGTAAATTTTCACTTTACGAATTTTTCTATATTTCACCTGTCCTTGTTTGTCACTTTCGTCGTGTTTATTTTTATACCCTCCACCATAGTATCGAAGGTATATTAAGATTGTAATTCTGTTTGCAACACATCGAAATACACATATTAGACCCCATAAGATATATTCTTGATCAGCATAAAATTCTATGGACCGCTCTTATATCTTCGCTTTATAGTCCACTTTTATTATCCCTTACTTTAGGAAAAGTGAAGGATAAAGTTCACATTATCGGATTCTCATTATTACATCTTTCCTTTAAAGTATATGCATTTCTTACAGAGATATGGCAATCTTTTTGTAAAAGTAACTGGTAGTCACAGCATTTTTTTCACAATGGCATCTTCATTTTAGGTTGAAAATAATTAACAAAACGAATTTGTAATTAATTTCGTGAAATAAATTTATAGTTCCGTTCTTCAATGTAAAATAAATGATTTGCGTTATCCATTTCTTTATTTAAATATATTTTGCTTTTATTGTCATATTATCAATATAAAATATGGCAACATGAATTCAGTAAACTTTACGTTAAAAGATAAAGGGAAAGTGGTCTGGCCTTTTGCTTATCGGAAGTTTTTATTTAAATGAGACTTGTAATGAGGAAAAATGATTTATGTGTCCGACAACATCACTTTTTTATCTATCGGAAAGATGTAATAACAACCGACATTTTTCACCGGAGGTTTTTCAAATGTGGTATTTGAAGTTCGTAATGGATACTACAGCCAAAGACAGAAAATTGTCTGCGCAGGTAAATGTCTTCGTATAGCCCCTATATAAGGGTATCTCCCGATATTCGATATTTTGATGATTTTATCTACATTATTACCATTTTTTTAAGTTTCGCATTTGAATATTGTAATGGCTTATGACAATTGTTACCTACGCAGGTCCATGTCGTCTATAGACCCTAATATAACAGCTACATTCGGTATTTTTAAGATTTTAACAGAATTGTTAACGGATTTTATTGTTGAATTGAAAAATTCGTTCCAATTGGTGGAGGGTATTTAAAGTTCGGCCCGGCCAAACTTACAGCCTTTTTTACTTGTTTATTGTTAGTTTTGTATTTTCCTTCCCTGCCTTCGTTTTTAGATATGCTCCAAAGTTCACATTGTAGCGTGATTGATCTTTCTCTCTCACTCCCTAGAACTGGTAACTACAGCCGGTGCAGTCCATGTATTCGTTTGTATATGTGCGTCAAGGCACCATGAAACGTCACAATTTATCCACAATTTTTTTTCATAGGATGTGGTATACATTAATGCTTTCACATAATAAGTTTGAAACAATTCCGGTGAATAAATTATGTCGCTAAAATCATCGAAATATCCATGTACCGTTATATAGGGCTATATGAAACCTGCATATACAATTTTCTGTCATAGGTTGAAGTACCCATCAAGAGCTTCCAATACAAAATTTGAAAGAGTTCCAATCTATAATGTCTCCAAAATCATCAAAATACCAAATATTTAGAGGTACCGTTATATGGGGGGATGACCCATTTTCGAACTTAACCTGCCTATTGATAAAATACACTTGTGTGCAAAATTTTAGCCCTCTATCTCATTTTGTTCGAAAGATAGCGTGATTACAACAGACAGACGGACATCGCCAAATCGAATTTTATGCTGATCAAATATATAAATACTTTTTTGGGTCTTAAATTAGTATTTCGAGGATCTTCAAACGGAATGGCGAAGTTAATATACCCTCCATGGTATGGTGGAGGGTACAAAAATACCTATTCGATAAATATAGCTAATGAAGTTATTTTTGTCATTTTAGAACGAGAAAATGAAAATTACGGTAATTAGGATGAAAAATTTGGCAAAGACTTTAAAAATGTGAACTTCAATAATGCTGCGTGATTAAGTTTTGGGGGAGAACTGTTATTAACCTTCTTTATTCCATTTGGAATCTACAGTGAGTTCGCTGCCAAGATGATGCTAAAAATGCCTTTCTAGAACACTTTTAATTTTGGAATATATTTTTGTTCTACTTAAAATTAAAAAGTCACTACATTTTAAAATTAATAGACGGGGATATTGATTTTAAATACCTGTATTCAATTCCCACAAACGTAAAGCATTATCTCGCCCTTCCTTGTCAGTTGATAGTAGAACTTTACACATAGGATCCAATTTCAAACTCGTAACTGGTGCATTGTGTCCTACTAAACTTGATCTGCAGTTGCCAGTAACCAAATCCCATATAAGTATTTTTGCGTCTTCGAGACCTGCAATAACGCAAGCATTTGTCTGTGATATCGCCAAGGATGTGGTATTACAAGAAGGCTTCCATTTCTTGAAAAGCGTTCCACTTTGAAGATCATATACAACAATAAAATTTGGAGTGGGTTCATTTAATTCCTTCGCCACAACACACACATACGAACCTTCGTGTGTGATGGCCGAGAGAGAAGTTATGAAATCGTGGTGAGGAATACGCAAGTCGTACAATAGCTTCCGTTGTGATAAATGCCATACAAGAAGAGGAAACGGTTTTTGTGTCTCATCGCCACACACCAGTATTCTGTAAAGAAATGAAGGAATAAGCAATTTGTTAAATATTTAGGCCAAACCGAAAAAAATTAGGGCAAGAATTCTGTCATTAATGATAGTGAATATATCCAATCCAATTGATAATTGTGAATATATATATCAAACTTATCGAAAGGATAACACTAATGTGTACTGTTCCTCCAATAAGATCTCATGTTTTGGTTTATTTCAATTTCTGGCGTATGTCTCTGTAACCATGTACAATGAATACAAGTTAGGTCAATTCTAATTTGTATACCCTCCACCATATTATGGAGGTTATATTAAGTTTGTCATTCCGTTTGTAACACCTCGAAATATACATTTTAGACACTAAAAAGTATATATTCTTGATCAGCATAAAATTCTATGTCGATTTAGCGATGTCCGTCCGTTTGTGGAAATCACTCTAGCTTCCGAATGAAATGAAGTAGATTGTACTCAAACCTATATTATGTCTACAGGATTTTTGGTATTGAAAATGGCACGTAGGTCCGCGTTTTGGTATAGCCCACATATAACGGTACCTCACGATATTCGGTATTTTGATGATTTTAGAGACATTATTCACCGGAATTGTTTTAAAATTGGTATTTCAAGTACGTAATGGATACTACAGCCTAATACAGAAAACTGTCTGTGCAGGTTCACGTCTTTGTATAGCTCCCATAAAAGGTACCTCCCGATATTCGGTATTTTGATGATTTTAGCTACATTATTCACCGGAATTGTTTTAAAATTGGTATTTGAAGTACGTAATGGATACTACAGCCTAATACAGAAAACTGACTGTGCAGGTCCACGTCTTCGTATAGCCCCCATATAACGGTACCTCCCGATATTCTGTATTTTGATGATACAATAGAAAAAAATACAAAAGAAAAATACCTCTAAATGAAACGTCTTTATGGGGGCTATATGAAAACGTGGACCAACATTGCCCATTTACGAACTTAACCTGCCTACACGCAGAGTATACATGTGTGCAAAATTCCTTCGAAAGATAGCGTGATTACAACAGATGGACGGACGTCGCTTAATCGATTTAGAATTTTACGGTGATCAAGAATATATATACTTTGTTGGGTCTGACATGAGTATTTCGAGCAGTTACGAATGGAATTATAAAGTTAATATACCCGCCCTAGTATGGTATATATGGAAATCTGTTATCAATGAAATTTAATTTGACAGCAAATGTAGAGCTGGATATTATAACAGTGCAATACAACACTATGGGTTGGAGGAATTAAAAGTTTGATCGGGCCAAAAATGTTGTGACAACTCGAAATATTGTTACCATATTAAAAATAAGAAAGTATCGCATGACTTTACCTCCTTTATTCTACCATGTATTAGGTACAAGTCTCACAATGTTTTTTGCCGATTTTGCAGTTGGTCTATAGCTTAATTATAGATCGATGGAAGCGTAATTTTGAGTGTGTTGAGAGATTAGGATCATAGTTTTTATTAATATATTTTTAAAACTGAAAGTCACACTCTTTTTCGAATTCATATAGACACCATAGAGGGCGTAAATATAAGGCAATTGCTACGAAATTTAGGATTGTCTTTGGGTCACGTTTGACCGGAATAATGTAACAATGACAAAAATAACCTTCAACAGAAACTTATTGCACTATTTTTGAATGATCTTTTGACTAGTCCTATTATGTATCCCAATATCTTGAGGGACTCGTTCATTCCAGTTCAAAGAGTTTCGGATCTACAAAAACTTTACTATAAATTATAATGTAATAGGGTATCCCATGGTCGGTCTTAACCTAATTTACCCTAGACTTTGTTACTTGTGGTTTTCTATTACCTGACAAATTTTAATCGATTTTTAAACTGATGGGACAACAAATAAAGTCGAATGAAAAAATTAACACTACGGAAATATAACAAGTAAAAAAGATGTAAGTTCGGCCCAAAATCAATAGAATCCGTTAAAATTATGTTAAAGTCTTAAAAATACCGAATGTAGCTGTTATACTAGGGTCTATACGACGACATGGACCTGCATAGGTAACTTTTGTCATAAACCATTACAATATTCAAATGCGAAACTTAAACAAGTAAAAAAACTTGGAAGTTCGCAGAACTTTGAATACCCTCCACCATTTGGTACAACTTTGGCAATTTTCAAAAAATTAAAATCCATTGAAAATTCTGTTAAAATTAAAATTACCGAATGTAGCTGTATATTAGGGTCTGTACGACGACGTGATCCTGCATACGCAACTTTTGTCATAAGCCTGCACAGACAATTTTCTGGCATAGGATGTAGTATCCATTACGAACTTCAAATACAAAATTTGTTGATTTTAGCGACATTATTCACCGGAATTCTTAAAATTTGATATTTGATGTTCGTAATAGATACTACAGCCTATGACAGAAGATTGTATGTGCAGGTCCACGTCTTCGTAGAGCCCCCATATAACTGTACCTCCCCATATTCGGTATTTTGATGATTTTAGAGACATTATTCACCGGAATTGTTCTAAATTTGGTATTAGAAGTTCGTAATGGATACTACAGCCTAAAACAGAAAATTGTCTATAGAGCTCCCTTCTAACAGTACCTCCCTATATTCGGTATTTTAATGATTTTTGCGACATTATTCACCGGAATTGGTTCAAATTTGATATTTGAAGTTCGTAATGGATACTACAGCCTAAGACAGAAAATTGTCTGTGCATGTCCACGCCTTCGTATAGTCCCCATATAACGGTACCTCCCATATCCGGTATTTTGATGATTTTAGCTACATTACTACCGTTAATATTTTTTAAGTTTCGCATTTGAATATTGTAATGGCTTATGAAAAGTGTTACCTATGCAGGTCCATGTCGTCGTATAGACCTTAATGTAAGAGAAACATTCGGTATTTTTTAGATTTTAACGGATTTTATTGTTTTTGAGAATTTCCCAATTAGTTCCAAATGGCGGAGGGCATTCAAGTTCGCCCCGGCCGAACTTACAGCTTTTTTACTTGTTTTGTTATATCCCTCACCATAGTATGTAGGGTATATTAAGTTTGCCATTCCGTTTGTAACACCTCGAAATATACATTTTAGACCCCACAAATTAATCGATGTCCGACCGAATGCTAATCGTTTATGTAATAACGTAAAACTCGAAGTTTGAAACTGTAGCTCACCTAGGAATCTGAAGGGGCCGGAATGTATAAGTTGATAAGTTCCACCTCAATTACCCGAGTCCAGTCAATCACGAATGGTGATTGACACCACGGGCAACTCCTCGGCGGAGACCGTAGAGCGCAGATGTCAACGGAGGGTTGTTGTTGAGTTATTTCTTCTTGCTTTACCTTTCTCTTATTGGAATATTTATTACTAGTAGTAATCAACAAAGATCCTCGGCGATCACCACGATCCTCTGTGATTGCATGAACCTTAACGTTCGCTTGTCGTTCTGTAATCGAGGTGTCCACTTGTCGCTCGCTAACCCCTCGAAATGAAACTTTGAATCATTAAGAATTATACTAACTCTTCCTTGTGTTTTATTTCATTCAATAACCATCACCACACAAGCGAATCACCCTCACCTCTCAAATCACACATATTAACTCTGGGTAGTTCTTGTTGTTATTACCGTTGTCGAAGCCATCTCCAGAGTTAAACAGTATTTTTGATGATTTAAGCGACATTATTAAAGGGAATTGTTTCAAATTTCATATTTACAGTTCGTAATGGATACTACAGCCTAAGACAGGAAATTGTATGTGCTGGTCCACTTCTTCGTATAGCCCCCATATAACGATACCTCCCGATATTCGGTATTTTGATAATGTCAGCTATATTATTCACCGATGTTTTTTAAGTTTCGCATTTGAATATTGTAATGGCTTATGACAAAAGTTACCTATGCAGGTCTATGTTTTCGTAGAGACTCTAAAACACGGCTACATTCGGTATTTTTAGGATTTTAACAATATAGGAAAATCGCGAAATACGAATGGAATGCCGAGGATTTTTCACAATATCAAGTTCATAATTGCAATTCTGCTATGGTGGTTGTGGTTTGTTACTGTGGTGTGTGTGGTTTATTGTTGTAGTCCTTTCAACACATTTATTTAAGGGGCACAATATTTATGATGAATAAAAGAAATTTTGCATATACGTTTAGATAGAATCAATAGTAATTTCTAAATTAAAGTAAACACTCACAGCAAAAATGTTAATGTATATTAACGTAACGGTTCTTTTTAAGTATTTCAAATGTCCTGGCTACATGGCTTTAACTTAACTATCAAAAGTAAGATGTCTTCGCTTATAAATATTAGGGACGCCATAATGTATATTATAGGGTATAAATCTTTGTCGATTAAATTATGTCCGTGTGCCTCGTGGTCGCCATTTGCAATTACAATAGACGTCGCCATATTCAATATGCGTTTTTGAAACTTTGTACAGACTTTTATACTATTCTCAAGGTGATTGATGGTGCAAACGATATATAGATATAGCATTTTATGAATTCAGCACAGTTAAATCTAATTCTTTTCCACTGGTTTTAGCCATATAACATCCCGATTTGAGGCATTTGTCCAAAATATTTAAAAACATTTCCGAGGTTATAAATTATTTGTCAAAAAAATTGAAGCAAAATTCCAATATACGGTTTGCTGCCTATTCATCCGTACCTCTTTATACTCGTTATATAATTTAATTTAACTACTTTTTAAATCTCAATTATTAGTATTATACAAAGGTCTTAGCAAAATTTTTCAAACTAAAAATAATTTTTAACTCTTAATTTTTAGAAGACCATGTTGTAAGTTATTTATTTTTGTCAACCTAGTGTATTCTACATCAGGGATAAGTCTTTACGATAGAGCTCACCAAATGTAATATGAGTCTTTCAGACTTAGCAAATATTATTCTTAGTATTATTGATGTTGCAAAAGAATATATATGTGTTCTCATTTAGATTATCTCCTAATATTCGTCGACTAAATAATTTCCA